TTAAAGAACTTATTCGTGAGGTAATTAAAATACAATATATTATATTTATCTATTTATTATGAAATCATCAAGTTAAATATTATTTATAATGAATTTCAATGGGAAGTTAATTTTCATAGTAATATCATCCACTTTTTGTGAATTACATCATCAAATCAAGGTATAAAAATCTTTTCTGATAAAATTTTTTTGTTTTTATTGACTTTTCTATTTATTCTATGGTGGTTCACTTAGAAACTAATTAAAGTATAATTTTGATAAGCTTGCTTGGGGAATATATACAACTTGATGCACTAGTTGGCTTGTGCTGTATCATGTTTGCATGACGAAGAAATTATACATTGTGATTTGGTAACATGTCTAATTCTGTTTTTTATGAACATTTATTTTTAGTAATTAACATTAAGTTTTTTTATATATATTAATAGCATTCTGGAAACATATTAATCCATCAAGGTGTTATTAAACTAGCAATCAGCCAAAAGTTTTGGGTATGATTCCTTATACCGATCCAAAAAGTTTTATTAGAGAAAGTAAAAATAACAATTCATTACAATGATATAAACTAAACAAAAAGAGTGACGTTTACAGCATTGGCGTACTCTTGTGGGAGCTATCAAGTGGACGTCCACCTTTTTATATTAAAGGTAAAGAATATGACATTGGTTTAGCTATAGAAATATCACAAGGACTTAGAGAAAGAATCATTCCCGGTTCATCTAAAGATTATGTAAACATATATACTGGTAATATATTATCTTAAATTTAATTAATAATGCAAATTTTATGCTTACGATTATTAATTTTTTTTTATGATTTTAGGGTGTTAGGATAATGAGCCAGAAAATCGCCTGATCATGAACACAGTGGTTGATGAATTAAATGCAATAATTACAAAAATAAAAATTATGGATTATAATAATATGAAAAATGATGAATCAAATCTTCAATTATCTGAGCTACAACTTTACTTGAATAGCGCTAATGCTTTTCCCAGTATTAATAATTCATTAAATGAAGAATTATCTAGTATTATTCTAATAATTTAGCTTGAACTTCAACGGGAAGTTGATTTTCATAGCAATATAATCCGTTTTTTGGAAATTACATCAATACATGGTATATACTTTTCTTAAATATATTGACTTATGCATTATATATTTAATTCATTAATAAATGTTATAATTTTTAAAAATAAATTAGAAAATCAACATGAACAACTTAAAAATTATTGGTTAGTAATAGAATATGCTGACGGTGATACTCTTAAAAACTATCTGAAGGATAATTTTGATAATCTTTCTTGGGGAGATAAATATAACTTGATATCTTAGTTAGCTTGTACTGTATTATGTTTATATAATGAAGATATTGTGCATCGTGATTTGGTAATCTTACATAATATATATATTTTCTTCTGAATATTTCTGTTTACTAATTAATATATGCTTTTATATGCAATACACATTAAAGCACTCTGGTAATATACTAATCCATCAGGGTGCTATTAAACTAGCTGACTTTAGATTATCGAAAAGAATTGAAGTAGCTAGTAATCAATCAAAACTTTCGGTGTCATTCCTTATGTTGACCCAAAACATTTTATGAGACGAAGAAATGACTTACTATTATCACAATATAAATTTAATGAAAAGAGCGACGTTTACAGTATTGGCGTACTTTTATGGAAAATATCAAGTGGTCGTCCTCCTTTCAATTTTGAAGAATACAACCTAAGTTTAGCTCTCGACATTTTAGGAGGATTTAGAGAAAAAATCATTCCCGACATGCCTAAAGATTATCTTAAAATTTACACTGGTAAATAAATTATCATAAATTTAATCATAAATAACAGCATAACAATTTTCTAATGGATTTTTGATTTTAAAATTTTATAGATTACTGGAATATTGAGCCAGATAATCATCCATCAATAAATCAAGTAGTTGATAATTAAATGCGATAATAAATATTGCATCAAATAATCAAAAGAATAACTATGAATCAAATATTCAATAACTCCATTTACATAAAATCAATGCTACTTCCAATATAAATAATTCATTTGAAGAAATTTCTCAAATTTTTCGATTTGATCAGAATAGTTATAAAATGAATAATCATGCAAGTACTTCTGAAAATATTCATCATTTGGCTGGTAAAATGAATGTAGAAGAAGTAGAATCAAATATTGAAGTATTAGATATAATTTATAATGATAATATTAAAAGTTTAACGATTACAGAATTTAATAAAAATAAAATATTAAACGCTTTAGGAGGATTACAAAGATATCAAAAATTAGCAGAACTTTGGTGTAATAATACTTCAATAACTAGCCTACCAAATTTACCCGACTCTTTAACAAAACTTATTTGTTATATCTTATCAACATTGCTCAAATCCTTAACTGAACTATGTTGCTCTGATACTCTGATAAATATACTACCATCATCTTTTACTCAGCTCCTTAACTTATCTTAATTGTTCTGTTACTAAAATAACTATCTTACCAACTTTATCCAATTCTTTAAAGATACTTAATTGCATTGGTACTCTAATAACTAGCTTACTAAATTTACCCAATTTTTTAGCGATACTCAGGTGCTTGAAAACAGAAATAAAAAGCTTACCAACTTTACCTACTTCCTTAATGGAACTTAATTGCTCTTACACTCAAATAACGATCATACCAACGTTATCTGACTCCTTAAAAAACTATAGGACTCAAATAGCTAACTTATCAACTTTACCTAATTCCTTAACGGAACTTGATTGTTCAGCTACACAAATAACTATCTTATCAACTTTACCCCTCCTTTAACAAAATTTGATTATTCATCTATACAAATAACTATTCTACTAGCTTTGCCCAACTTCTTACTTGATCTTAATTGTTCTGATTCTCCAACAACTTTGCTACTGACTTTATCCAACTCCTTAAAGATACTTGTTTGCTCTTATATTCGAGTAACTAGCTTACTAATTTTACCTTCATTAATGGTACTTAGGTGTTCTAAAACTAAAATAAACAGCTTACCTACTTTACCCAACTCCTTAAAGATACTTAATTACTCTAATACTACAATAAATAGCTTACCAAATTTACCCGTTTCCTTAAGAATTGTCTATCCTAAATCTTTAAAATTTCAAAATCTCAATAACCAATAAATTTATATTTACAAATAACTTCTCATTTTATATATATTATTTGATCACTTGTTACATTTTGCTATAATATTATTAATTAAAAAATAAATTTGTAAGCTTAAAAAAATTATAAAATATCGTAACATAAAATTCTATTATTTATTTAATTAAATAAAAGTCAATTATTTTTTATAAAAAAAAATTTTAGTTTTCTATATTTGTTAATTTTTATTAAATAAGATAATCTACTAAATTTAAATAAAAATAAATAAAAATTTAAAAAAAAATTAATCATCAAGATTTAGAGTTAGTTAGATTAGAATAGATTAAACATTAAAAACTTATAATTAAAGAAAATCCTCAATTTAACAACTTATTCATATTATATTAGTTAATTTTCAAATTAAAATCTAAATAAAAATGCAAAACTTAAAAATTCTATATTTTTTTATTTATATAAAATATTTAAGATATAATTATAATTAAAATATCATGATATAATATATTTCTAATAATTTATTTAGTTTTAAATTGATTTGTAGTTATATAGATCTTTATCTATTTATATTTTACATGAAGTTGAAATAAAAATCCAAAAGTTGAAACATTTGACTTTAGAGATTAAAGTCAAAATAAAAAGTCAAAATAGTTGAAATGATGTCATATCATATGGTTTTTCATATATACAGACCCCCGCCAAAAGTCTCTGGACGCTATCTTTCAGGGGTATTTCATACCAATTACATTATGTAACTGTATAATACTGCGTTTATGTAATGTTCCGGACCTTGTTTACTTGAATAAACCAAATAAAGTTGTGTTTGGTTTGTTTATTCTGATTTATAATAAAAATAAATTTTATCTTCCGAAAACAAATAAAATGTCCAAAGAATTAACAACAGAACAACGCGGTGGTATAATTTTTTGCTATCAACGTGGCGATAGTTACCGAACTATTGACGTGACTATTGGTTGTGAAAAGTCAACAGTTTTAGACACTTTAAAAAGAAAAAGAATGGATGACACCGGAACCATTAATTCGAAGCCTCGTTCTAGTCGACCACTCTTAATTAAAGATTCGAAGCGAAGCCAGCTTAAGCGAATTATCACTAACAATAAAGAAAAAAATCGTTGCTTATGCACTGCAGAAGTTCAACAACTCTGGCAAAAAAAGACCGGCCAAGATGTTTCAACTCGCACAATTGGTCGAAGTCTTCATGCAGCTGGGTTAAACAATTGTTTTGCATGACGAAAACCTTTAATCACACCAGCAAATGTTGAGGCACGTCTTGCATGATATTTGGAATACCAAAGTTGGACAAAAAACGTTTGGTCGAAGGTCATGTGGAGTGACGAATCTACCTTTTCACAATTCCAACAAAGCCGTTGTAGTCGAGTATGGCGTGAACCTCATGAAAAATGGAACATTTCTTGTGTTTCTGCCATAGTGAAACATAGCCCTAGCCGAATGTTTTGGGGGTGCTTTTCGAGACAAGGCTTAGGACCAATTGTTCCATTATCTGAAACAGTCACTGGTGCTACACATATCACCATTCTTCGCAAGCGTGTCATGCTAACTATGAGACGTGCATTTCCAAACCATGATGGTGTATTCCAAGAGGATAATGCTCGCCCTCATAAAACGAAACTTGCAAAGAAGTTTCATGCGAAAAATAGTCTGCGCGTACTTCCATGGCCCACTCAAAGTCCAAATCTCAACCCTATTAAGAATCTATAGGCCGAAGTCAAGAAAAGCATTCAGGAAAGAAAAAATTTGCCTTCCAATTTTGCTCAACTCAATCGACATGTTATAAGGGCTTGGAAACAAATTCCGATACAAACTATCGAAAATTTGGTCGATAGTATGCCGCAGAGAATTAGGGCTATGATTGAAGCAAATGGAGGCCAGACTAAGTACTAATTATTTAGTACCAAATGTGTAGCATATCGTACTTTAATAAATATATTAATAAATGTTTTTTAATAAAATTTAAAAATTTTAAGTTTTATATTGAGCCAAAAAGTGTCTGGAGACTTTTGGCGGGGGTCTGTAATAAAACTCTAAAAAAATAAAAATGTATGCTCTTGATCAATATCACTCTAATTTGTATAAAATAACTACTATTCAATTCTTCACAACTAGACGGATCTAACATTTATTGATTTTAAATCAGCTTTTTTTTAATTTTTTATAGACATAATAATACATTTATTTATTAAATTCATAATCAGTTAAAAAAATATGAAAATCCTAAAAAAAAGTACAAAAGTAGAAAAAATAAAAAATGCTGCCTAATTAATTTTATTAATAAGCTAATTCCAATTAGACTAACTGGTTATCCTATAAGGCTCTATAAAAAATTCTAGGTAAGTTTGATCGCTTTAATAATATTTTAATAAAAATAAAGCACAACTTTTGTAAATCAAATCAATTTTAAATTTATGATTTAATAAATTAAAATTTAAAATAAAATAATAATAACTATAAGCATTATCATTTTTATTTTTTTGCTTTTAGACACAAACAACACAAACATTTAAATATAAATAAATTGATTTATATTAATTGTGATATGCATTTTATGATGATTAAAAATAATTAGATATTAGGGTTTTAAAAAATCTAAATATAATAAATCTGGAAGATTAAATAAATAAGATATAATTAATCCAGTTTTTTTGCTAAATAATTTTGTATTCAGTTTTAAATCTAAACTGAAAAAAATCAGATTTAAATCTAAAGGTTAAATTCTCTATTTCAAATCATAAATTAATATTAATTTAATAGTATAATTATATTGAAATATCAGATAATAAGTTAAAATTTGATTTTTTATATTTAAAATCAATTAATTATTATGATTTAATTTCTATTAATGCTATATAATATAGTTAATATTGGTAATATGCTATTAAAAATCATATGTCTTATACCTTAATAATAGATATTTTATTAATATATTTATGTACTAATTTTTATAGTTATTAAAATAAATTATAATAATAAATTATTATAATTATTAAATAAAAGTTATTCTAATATTAAATATAATGTATAATATATATTAAGTTTTTATTAATTTAATAATAAATTAATTGATAAATTATTTTAAGTTATTTTAATAATAAGTAATATTTAATATTAATTTAGTTAATAATTTATTTTAAGCTTTATTAATAATTTAATAAAATAAATTTATTAATTTAAAACATATTTTATTATTATTTTATATATATAGTGGCACTTAAAATATTACATCACCTGAACACAAATTTTAAAATAATAATGTCTCATGATTAAAAAGGCGTAATGTTATAACTTTAATTAATGAGTTTGTTATATTTCATAATAATTCAATCTATTTCATCTTTTTTTTAAGGCATAAAAATATTTTTTTTTGTTATAAAGCTTTGCAAAAATAACGATGCAATTATTTTGATCAATCTAAGAAATAAACATTAACAATCATTCATGATTTTTTTGTGCTTTAAAACAAATATGTAGAATATATAAAAAAGATGTCTTATGGTATTTTCTGCCTTTTGTAATTTTATAAAAAATCTATGGTTTATTTATTTGTTAAAAAAAGAGCTAGGGTTTGTATTTTATTTGAAAAAGATTATCCCTTCCGCTATATAATAACCAAGGAAAATATTTCTTAATCAACTGTAATAAAAACTAAGCAATATAAAGATAAAACTAGTAATTTTAAAGACCAGCCTAAATCTGAATGTCTGTAACTCTTAACTGACTGATATAAATGAAAAATTCTAAGACTAATTACAACTGGTAAATGTACTAATGCTATTATAATCCAAAAAACTAAAAACAGAAGAACAAATTGAAGTTAGTGAATGTAAAATCAAGAGAACCTTATATAGAAATGGAATGAATGCAAAAGTAGTGTAAAAAGCTATACTTTTGAAAAATTCATAGAATTGCAAATATAAAATTTGCTAAAAAATACAAATCATGAACAGCAGAGGATTGGAACAAAGTTATCTAATTAAATAAGTACAAATTCATTATTTATAGGTCAGATGGTAGAGAATATTATTGGAAAAACCAAATAAACTATTACGCAATCATCATGTTAAATTAACATTCAAATTTGAGTGGGGTAATATTATAGAGTAAAGATGTTTTACATCTGGTAGGATTGGTAACATATGCTAAATTTATGGACATATAAATGGTGATTTATATCATCAAATTATAAATGAAGACCTTTTAGAAACTATTAAGTGGTATGGAATGGATAAAGATCATATTATCTTTCAACAAGATAATGATCCTAAACATATTGCAAATCTTACTAAGCAATGGTTTGAGGACAATAGGGTTAAAGTTCTTGATTGGTCAGTGCAGTCCTCTGACTAAAACTAATAGAATACCTTTGGAATAAAATAGACCATCGTCTGAAACAGCTTGTAATACCTGTTAGAACACAGAATCAGTTGTGGGATGCAATTCAAAAAATTCGGGTTGAATTGGGATCAAATATATGCAAAAAGTTGGTTGATACTATGCTAACTCATATAAATGATATAATTAAAGCTATTAGAGGTTATATAAATGGTTGATAATTATTTACCAAAGTATTAATGCAATTGTGTTAATTTTTATTTTTTTTATTTACATAAAAATTTAATAAAAAATTTATCAAAAGAAAAGGATTGTGTAAATGATCAAAATCAAGTATTTAAAATTTTTTTATCACATTATTATGTATTGATTTTTATACTATTGAATAGACTCGTTATGATGAGTTTAATAAATAATTTTGTTAACGCTGCGCCTTCTTAATCACAAAATAATGCTATTTTAAAATTAGGTATTTATTATTTTTTATTAAATAAATTGCAAAGTTTTTATTTATCAAATAATATTTCATTATTATAATAAAAAAAATAATAAAAATTTCAAATTTCAACAGTAATAAAAATATTTATTATTTTTTTTTTTTATATATAAATCAACAAATCAATAAATTAAAACTATTCATTATTCATACTTTTGATTTGATACACGTTTAAAAATTTATTATCCTTTATGTATCACGTGACATGTATAATATCAATAACATGTGAAAGTTTCTTATATTTACCATGTGATATTATTGATAAAAATGTATGTGTAAACAATTCTTGTTTATTTATTTCTCTCTCCCTCTCTCTTGAGTTTTGATTAAATCAATCTGCTTTCACGCTTCTTATAATAAGTATTTATAACATAATATCTTTTTCAGGTTTTTATGCAAAACGCCTTATCAACCAACGTGTCTTTTTGTGTTTTGAATTCAAAGGTTTTTTTTTTATTATTACTGGGTACGGCAAAATACAAATATAGTATTTGTTGACAAGCGACGAAAATTTCGGGCTATTATTTTAGGTGGGTGTTATTTGAATTCGTCACTTGTCTGTTATTAACTTTGTGGGGTCTAGGGGAGCACAGTAAAGCATTATCATTTTCTAGGTCTTGGTGGTGTTTCTTGGTGGTGTCTCTTGGTGGGATTATCCTCTTGAGACTGTGTAAAGCTATGTGCCCAATTTCTCTGAAGGTCGAGAGTAAGCTTTAGCAGAATAATACTGTTCGGATGTCATCTGTTTGGATGTCAGACTCTCTATTGATCGAATCTGGTCTGACCCTCCCCACCTTCTCTTTCTTTTTTTTTAAATATTTAATTATCACTTAGAACGTTGGACTCGTTTATTATCGACGATTGTGGAATAGAATGGCTGACTTTAAAGGCTGAACAAACTTTCACGTTAACTTAATTTATTTTTTTAAGATATGATCGTCAAAATTGAAATCTAGTGTCAGGTAATCAGACCTGCCTGACGTACAGTGGACGGCCTACTGTGAACGTTCCGAAAACCTACAGCTATAAAATTTGAGCGAAGCCTTAGTAGAAATACCTGAAACTGTTTCTTTGCCCAAAGAAGCGCGCATAAGGACTCCCGGGGG